GCAGCCAGTTGCCTAGCCACCGCATCAACCATGCAGTCAATTGACCAGAAGCTGCATGATATATCGAGCAGACGGTTCATCTAATGGTAAGCAGTCACCATCACCCATGGACCAGATGGCATCATTAGAGAAGATACAAATATATTACCAGCCTTTTGCTAAGCGACAGATATGGATAAAGATAAAGAGAGATAAAGAGATAGTTTATTTTGCAAATATGGGTAGTACAATAATATTTGTGGTGTTAGGTTAGGTACAATGCGAGCTCAGCCATATTTTACCAGTAGGCATGCAAAAATTAATTTAAAATGTTACAAATTATAAACATGTCATCCTAAAACTTAAACTTACTGCTTTATAAATTGAATAGTTACAGTCCATAAACAAAAGTCAAAATAGTAATTACTTAAACAATGTCAAATGTTAAAATGTCAAAGAAATAATAGTTGAAATGTCCTTAAATGTAATTAAAAACTAATTATCTAGTTGATTCTCCATTAAAAAGTCTGCAACATTATAATATGCTTTGTCTACTAAAAGTTTTCTTAGTTTGTTTTTTAATAATGACATACTCAAATCCCTCCAAGTCTTAGGTATTTTATTAAATATTTTAATTAATGGAATCATTCATTTCCATCATAGTAGGTACCACAAAACAATCAACGAAGCGTCAACGATTAATGGTAGACGTCCTCAACCAGAAATTCTTTGCCAGAGTCTGTGTTTCCTGAAGGGTATAATAACCTGGGAGTCTTCAAGACCCAAGTGAATAGATTGCTTATGGGTAGACGTACTCCATCGTAGACCGCATCATCGCTTACCACCAGGCGAGATGGAGGCCAAACGTTAGCAGATCAAATATAAAAAAAGAATTGTGTTTGAAAAGAAATTAGAAATATTATGTATGTGTGTAAAAAAAACTCACCAAGAATCCGAAAACGAACAGGAATTTCATGTTGATATAGTTTTAAGATCCGAAATGACCAGACAACTGACTTTGCTACAAAATGTACACCTATATATACAAGACCAATGCCTGCGTATCGGCTTAATATGGTACCTTTAAAACAAAAGGGTTTTGAATATTAGTTTAACATAACAATAGCTATTTTGTTTTAGCCGAAAACATATTTAATTATGCTTGGAAATGTCGGTTTGTGTGTATGTATGTCTGTGTTGAAAGTTAATTGGGTAGATGACTAATGACTACTTTTTATTTTAATGTTCGTTTGGTAGATTATTTATATCATTAGACACGTATTTTTTATTTTTTTTACGGAAACCAATAGTTTCGAATATATAACATAACATCACGCCTTTTATCCTCGAAGGGGTAGGCAGAGGTGCACATTACGCCACTGTACAATGTAACACCCACTTTTCACTAATTATTTTACGAGTCCCATGTAATTGAGGGTGAGCCTATTGCCATATACCGGACACAGTTCCAGACTCCGTGCTACTACTGAGAATTTTCCGACCCCTTGTCCGTTTCGAATATATATTGATTCGAAATGTCGCGTGACGTCACTTCTATGTACATTTTATACGTAGAAATGACGTTTTAGCCCCCACTCCTAAACTTTGATTCGTTATAATATAACCATTGTACCACCAAGATATAAGTATCATTTTATTATACAACAAAATAAAAAATGCGTGTCTAATATTTTTTCATTACCTAACTGACGGACTAATTACATTTTTAATTGTCATACCCTGTCATCATCCCTATTACAGTATGGTGTTTTATCTTTATCGTCTCGTCACCTACTTGTCTTGTCACGACCCCTAGTCCTCCGGCGGGTGGACGTTTGTGTTGAAGGTAGCCTAACCTGGGATCGCGTTATCGCAGAAGGAGGCTACAGGCCGCGAGCGAGAGGAGGACGCCCTCGCTCCAGCGCTCCGACGACGTAGAGTTCGTAGGCGAAGACGACAAGCCCCCCACAACCTCCCAAAACCGCTGCAACTCCTGTAAGCCAGGATCTACAGTAGATACAACCATGCAAACACCGGAACACTGAAGTCCGGCGGCGCGTCTCACGGACATGAATAACTGTCTTGGTTCTGCAGTACAACCGCCTTCTCCATCCTGGGGGTGAGTAGCGGGTGCTAGGCGCTGTGACGCTTACATCCAACCATTCCTGAAACCCCTTACCGAGACAGGGAGCGGCATGATATAGCCCCCCATCAATGGCAGGCTTCGCCGGGGGGTACTGGTCGTAAAGGTCAACCGATCTCCAAGATCCCCTCATATGGTGACGCAGCTGTGCTCCTGGGTTTTTTAGTGGGTATACCGTGGAGCACGCCTACCTATGAGCAACCCATACATTTGGGACTTGAAGACTTGATTAGGGGACTATAATATTTTGTCTTGATAAAACCAGCAAACTTATTCCCCCTAGTCCATTTCACCACCGTACCACCAGACGAACGGCGGGACGCCACCCTTATATGGTGGACATTCCACTCATTCGAACGAAGCGTTTCGCGTCAAGCTTCCTCATGCGAACCGCTAAGGAATGGAATTCCTTGCCAGAGGCTGTGTTTCCCGTCAAATATGACTTGGGTGTCTTCAAGTCCCGAGTGAACAGGTTGCTCATAGGTAGGCGTGCTCCATCGTTGGCCACATCATCGCTTACCATCAGGCGAGATGGTGGTCAAACGTCGACCTATAAAGTATAAAAAAAAGTCATTACAATGGAGTTATGCAATTCAATGCAGTTATTTAGGAGTTAAATAAACGACTAGGAGTATACATTAGACAGAGACCGTGCAGCAGCGCTCTCTGATAAACCTGAACCTTTTATACTGCGATCTCCAACCCGCCTGCTTGTGGAGATTATGGCAAACCCTCTTATGTAGAGGAGGCTCATAGTGCAGCAGTGGACTGTCACTTTCAATCTATTGACAGACAGGTGATGACAGACTACAGAGCGCCATCTACAACGCTCCTTTCCTAAATTTTACTTCTTTAGATTACATCACTTCATACACGAAAATAAGCAAATCCGAGGCACAACATAAGTATAAAAATTCCAAATATTAATTGTAACTAATCGGTTTTAATATAACCTTTAACGCTATTAGTTATAAAGCCTAAATTAGCATAACAACAAAAATGTTCATAAAAGAATCTCCGTATAGTAACACAAAGTTATTAATGCAGTTGGCGGTGGCGCTATTGTAGCTTAACCTTGAACATTTTGTTCGTAATTAACATTAGTTCCAGATTTGGCCGTCAGTAAAGATAAGTTTGTAGGCCGTTTTCTTAAAGAATTTGGCATATATTTGTTCAGTTGTTTTAAATTTCTAGAAATTACTCATTATTTAATTTTAAAACAGAGATTTCTGACACAAAATCCTCAATAAGTTGTGTTTAAAAATAATTTTGGGCAAAATATTGTGAATTTGCTTTTTCGTTGCCGTATATCCAAGCGGTCACCGGTGACCGCTCTCTACCAAATACATTATAGACCTTATTTCCAATGTTTAGAGACTACTTTTGTATGAACAAATTTAAGGGATGATTTTCAACGGGTTAAGTAACCTATACATAATATTTTTCGATATTTTAAAGACAGAAATTGAAATTATGTTTCTCATGTGGCGACGCATGTCACAAGTCAACGGATGACGTCATATAATCCTACATCGGACATGCAAAGTTTACAAGCGAATAAACACGGATAGAAAATCCCAACGAACAACTGTTGGGCAGAAAGCCCGCCAGGCACGATCACCTCGCCTGGTCGGAGGATCCTCCTTTTCCGATCTTAGGGAACTATACTATCTGTTCCCTAAACTCATATGGTAATTGGATTGACCTATAGAACTAAAAAGTAATAATGCCCTTTACTCCTCAAAGTACAATATTTTAGACAAAATCTTATTTAGATATAAATCATTTCAAAGTAACCATAACATAACATCACGCCTTTTATCCCCGAAGGGGTAGGCAGAGGTGTACACAGAAGTAACACCCACTTTTCACTATTTATGTTATGAGTCCCATGTAATAGTGGGTGAGCATATTGCCATATATTTATATTTCCGGTCTCCGTGCTACTACTGACATTTTTTTTAAAAACCCAGTATTACTTTGCCCGACCCGGGAATCAAACCCAAAACCACTTACTCGGGAGTCGCACTTGCGACCACTCGGCCAACGAGGTAGTCTTTTTTATTTGTAATATATAAAATGGCGGACTTATGCCTAGTGGCATTCTCTAACAGTCAACCAAAGGGTAGTGGCGTCCCAGTATCAGTAGATTCGGAGTCGTGGAGAACCTAACGGGCTACCGGGGCTCCGGCTCGACGTGCAGGAGAAGGAACGGGGTGGTTTTTAGTCAGTATGAGTCTGACACTCCCTCCCATTCGGGAGCAGTCAATCGATGATTTTCCCCCTTAAATAAAATCGCGGGTGTGGGGGAAAATCGCTGCGTAATTCAATAGCCTTATACAAACCACATTTACCTATGTACGTCATAAAAATAATTGGCGTAGGTATAATATTTTGACAAAAATACTTTAATCAAAACACATGTGGCATGGTTTTCTAAACTTACGTCAATTTTATAAGTATTTTACATAATAATAGAGATGATTTTATTTTATTAATTAACTAATTTCTGTATACCTCGTTGGCTGAGTGGTCGCAAGTGGGACTCGGCACGTATCGGCCCTCGATTGTTTTGAAAATTCTAAGTATTAGCACGGAGCCTGGAACTGTGCCCGGCATATGGCAATAGGTTCACCCCCTATTACATGGGACTCATAACATAAATAGTGAAAAGTGGGTGTTACATTGTACAGTGGTATAATGTGCACCTCTGCCTACCCCTGCGGGGTTAAAATGCGTGATGGTACTGGGACTCTTAATATAACTGGGTGTTATACATTATCATGTCCATTTTTAGAAATAAAACACACGACACACACGTCTTTATTATTATGTTTTATTAAAACAGAAAAAAAAGAAATATTATTCTTGTCTTCTCTTATCCACGGGAATATGGCGGCCATGAATTAGTTTGCAAATAATACACGCCAGAGTACCTGAAAGATCAAATTCAAAGTCAAAAGTTAATGTTAAGATCAAAATTTATATCATTTAACTTGATTTAAGGTAGGTAGGTGATATAAGTCCACAACGTAAAAGTAAAAAGTCGCCTTTGTGCACCTGGGTGAATTAATTGACAAGTGAACAAAGGAGACTACTTGAGTCAACTCAATTCACCTAGGTGATATCATCTGGGTGAAATAATTCCCAGGTGAATTGAGGACTCCAAAAAGTCTACTTTGTTCACCTAGGTGAAATCACCCAGGTGAACAAAGTGGAATAAACCCTTACCAAAACCAACACAAAATCGAAGCTAAAGCAAAAATCAGAGTCAACATCAAAGTCAGTAACAAAGTCAAACTATAACTCAAAGTCAAGTCAAAATCGCAGAAAAAGCCAAAACCAAATACATAGTCAACGTTCTCGTTAAATTAAAGTCAATAAGCTAACGTCAAAATCAAATACGCAAAGTCAAAGTCTACGTCAACGTCAATTCAACATCAAAGCCATATTAGGTAATTTCTCTTTCAATGCCAAATAACGAATTTTTTTTTTTGATGCCTTAAGCTTAAGGTTACATTTTTATTATTTTTTATTTTAAGGTATTAATATTTTATTTATTTGTATTTTAAGTTGTATGTGTATATCCTTACTAATTTTATAAATCGGAAAGTGAGTTTGATTGTTTGTTTGTTCCGCTTTCACGCCGTAATGCTTTGAATTTTTGCAGACGTAAAGTTAGAAATCCGGTTTAAATAATAGGGTACTTTTTATCCCGGAAAAAATTGATATTCCCGAGAGAAAACAAAAGTATTGGTATAGATGGCGCTGTGTGTATTGGTATATGTCACATAGGCTACTTTTTATCCTATTGTGACGCGGGCGAAGCCGCGGGTAAAAGCTCGTATATATATATGTATTAATAATTGTTTTAGGCATGAAATAGCGTCATCAGTAAACAAATAAAAAACTTTAAACCCACGAAAAAAAATTATAACGAAAATAGTACAACTTACGTACCCAGTCTTAGGTTCGATGCCTCCCATGAGTAAGGTGTCTTCTGAAGGACAGGTGCCATTGACTGCATGTTGGTAGCTCTCACATTTGCTGCCGGTGAATACTCCTCCACGAACAGACTCCGCGAAGTAGTGGAACACTCTGAAATAACATAACATAACGTCACGCCTTTTATTCCCGAAGGGGTAGGCAGAGGTGCACATTATGCCACTGTACAATGTAACACCCACTTTTCACTATTTATGTTATGAGTCCCATGTAATAGGGGATGAGCCTATTGCCATATACCGGGCACAATTCCGAACTCCGTGCTACTACTGAGAATTTTTTTAAAAACCCAGTAATACTTTGCTCGACCCGGGAATCGAACCCGAGACCCCTTTGCCCGACAGTCGCACTTGCGACCACTCGGCCAACGAGGCAGACAGTCTGAAATAATTAATATAATTAATATGAAAATCAGAATGCTATATGAATGCTTTGTTGGTAGAGAATATAAAAATACTTCCAAAACCGCTGCAACTCCTGTGCACCAGGATCTACAGTAGATACAACCATGAAAACACCGGAACACTGAAGTCCGGCGCGTCCCAGGGACATGAACAACTGTCTTGGTTCCCGCAACGAAATAAATGAGAAGATATTAATAGAAGGGAGGAAAAAAACGACTGCCTCGTTGGCAGAGCGTTCGCAAATGCGACTACCTTGCAAGGAGTCTCGGATTTGATTCCGGAGTCAGGCAAAGTTAAACTGTGTTTTTTAAAAAAGTCTCAGTAATAGCACGGAGTTTGGAATCATGCCCGGTATATGGCAATATGCTCACGCCCTATTACATGGGACTCATAACATAAATAGTGAAAAGTGGGTGTTACATTGTACAGTGGCATAAAGTGCTGTAATGTGGATGTCTACCCCTTCGGGGGTAAAAGGCGTTTATAGCACGGAGTCTTGAATAGCGCAGTAACTCATAAAACAACTGTTGAAAATTGGGTGCTATATTTACTCATAACATCACGCCTTTTATCCTCGAAGGGGTAGGCAGAAGTGCTTATTACGGCACTTAATATCACTCAACAATGTAACACCCACTTATCACTATTTATGTGAGTCCCATGTAATAGGGGGTGAGCGTATTGCCATATACCGGGCACAATTCCAGACTCCGTGCTAATACTGAGATTTTTTATTAAACAACCATGCTATACTTTGCCCGACCCAGGAATCGATGCCAAGACCCCTTGCCCAGCAGTCGCATATGCGACCACTCGGCCAACAAGGCAGTCTTAATATAAAAACTAAAACAATATTTAAGACTTTGACTGCCAATAAAAAACTGTTGAAGGTAAATCCTCCGCTAACCGGTCACCGGTGACCCCATGGCGTTTAACATGTTAAAAATATCCTCACCGATCATGACTACACAATCCAGTGAGACAGCCTGCCATTTTTACACCCCCATTGGGGTAAAAGTCCACATCACCAAGAGGTTCCAGATAGCCCAGTCCACCTCCATTCGTATGTATCACTTCTGTGTAGACCCCGTCATTGGGGGCAAACTTATCCGCGTTGTCCTCGAAGAGGGGTCGTGCTGGGTCCAGTCCTGGAAAAATTCAATTATAAATAACTAGTTAACTGTTGACGGGACTTCGTCTCGATTACCATTTACCGTCCCCTTCCCCAATCTCCCCAATTCCTGAATCGACACGACAACACGATAAGTGTGGGAGAGCCATGCTTCCGCACGAATGGGCTGGCTCGACCGGAGTGATAGCCTTTAATCTCAACCTAACCTCACTCACACGACGTAACACAACGCAAGCGTTGCTTCACGTCGGTTTTCTGTGAGGCCGTGGTATCACTCCGGCCCATTCATACTGAAGCATGGCTCTCCCACATTTCACACTCAAATTACACTCTAATAGCGTTAAGTCATACTTAAAAAATGTATAAAGGAATCACATCACATAACATCACGCCTTTTATCCCCAAAGGGGTAGGCAGAGGTGCACATAGAAGTAACACCCACTATTCACTATTTATGTTATGAGTCCCATGTAATTGAAGGTGAGCCTATTGCCATATACCAGGCACATTTCCAGACTCCGTGCTACTACTGAGATTTTTTAAAAAAACCCAATAGTACTTTGCCCGACCCAGGAATCGAACCTGAGACCCCTTGCCCGACAGTCGCACATGCGAACACTCGGCCAACGAGGCAGTCGGCACATATGGGCCGGCTCGACCGGAGTAATACTACCGCTGAGCAGAAAATCAAAGTGAAACAATGCTTGCGTTGTCTTTTATACGCCCAATCTGGGAAGGATCTCAATTTGGGTTGCCACCCGTACTTTATGTTTACCCGTACTTTTACCCGTACTTTTTTTACCCGTACCGACTGCCGAGTCGCACTTGCGACCACTCAGCCATCGAGGCAGCCATAAAGGAATCACCTACCAGTAATATAAGCCACCATGCCTCCAAGGTTCCTACCGACCGCCCCAGCCTGGTGCCCGCCGAGGCTGTAGCCTACCACGTGGTACTGCGATAGATTGGCTCCTGTGATGCTGTTCAACCAGAGGATAAAGCGGGCTACGGATGCTCCTGGAAAAAACAAAAATGTACATACATAACTTCACATCTGTCTCCAACGGGGGTAGGCAGAGACTAAAGAACGCCAAAAAGACAAAAAAGTAATATAATTATATTTACAGTCGTTTGTTATATATAATTGAGGACATAAGCGACCTATTTTTTTTTTAATCTCAACTTGAACTTAATTTAGGTTAGACATACGTCTGATTACTTTTTTTTATACTTTATAGGTCGACGTTTGACCACCATCTCGCCTGATGGTAAGCGATGATGTGGCCGACGATGGAGCACGCCTACCTATGAGCAACCTGTTCACTCGGGACTTGAAGACACCCAAGTTGTATTTGTCAAGAAACACAGATTCCAGCAAGGAGTTTCATACTTTAGCGGTTCGCACAAGATCTAGATATCTTGTGCGAACCGCTTCTTCTGACTAACTATTACTCTTGTAGGCAGCTCTTACGTTAAAAACCTCCTTTGTAGCGCGATAAGAAAAATGGTAGTTACGTTGTGAATTCGCGTTCGCGCTAAAATTCAAAATTGGATTGCCCACGCCTCGCTCGAGCGGGCTCCGCGCACGCGTCGACAGTCGCCGCCGAAACATTGAGTGAGTGAACGTGGAAGACGCGCCGCGTCCCCGCCAATTTTCCTAGTTTTTCAATTCGTTGTGAAAACATCCAGCTCTAATCTGTTACAACTTTATTACTTCTAATAGTTTTTCTCATGAGAATACGTCACCTGATGGTCCCATTGTACGGTTGACGTACACTAATTATGTTAATTAAACTTATTTGTATTACGATGATTCTGCATATCGGGCGAATTTCCGTCGTGGCATTCAATTGTAGACCCGTGTGCACTTCATTTGTCTGCCGAACGTATCACTGTGAGAATTACCTAATAACTAATCATACTTGTAACTTTTAAAATAAACCTTTCGTGACTTCTAGAAGTGTTACACTCACAATTATAAACTCAACTATCTACGAATACTTCATAACGACGAAAAGTAATGTACAGTTCATTACACTGTACACCCATGGATTTGAGGATTGGGGAATCTTGATATGGTGGGGAAGTATTCATTGAGGAGGCAGTGAAGCGCTGCCTCCTCACATCGTGCCATCGTGAAGGACACTCCGGGCGTCGGGGATCACGGGACGATCTCTGGCCACCGGACCGGACTGGGCCTGCGTAGCTCCCGCCTCACTCTGGCGGGAGAAGTAATTCAATGATTTTCTCCCCTTAAAAAAAGCGTTGTTTCACGTCAGGTCCCTGTGATGCCGTGGTATCATTCCGGTTGCGCAGGCCTATTCATGCCAAACAACGGCCTTACTGCGTGTAGAAATTAACATGGTCTTAGAAGGATCCTTACCTGATAAAATAGTATTCCTGACAGCTTTAATGAGATTCAATCCACTGTTTCCTGCGCTCCAATCTACCACAATTACGTTCATATCTTCCGCCGCTAAAAAGGCTGAAAAAGAAAAAAGAAAATTAAATAAAGGCTGAAGCTTTCGGATTTCAAAGGACCTAATGGCGCATACGTAATAATATGGTCCTGTTTCAGTAATTCAGTCAAGTTTGATTTAATATTATTTACTTCAATTAGACCGTGATGGCAGTTTTGAAAGTCAAATTGACTGACATTCTTAATTATTAAAAACTAGCTTTTGCCCGCGACTTCGTCCACGTGGAATAGTGACTTCCGGCAGATTTTTGGTTTTACCCACATAGTTCCGAATCTCTTCAAAAATGAAATGTGGAAAATATTCTAGGGAACTCTTCAAAAATCAACATAATGAGCTGTGCGTTTGAATTGAAGATATGTATATTTAGTTAGGGCATTAAAGTTATTGCCGATCGAAAAAGGCGAAAATGTTGTTATTCCCTTATTTAAAATATTATTTTGATTTGCCATTTCAGAAAAAAAGACTGTCTCCCTTGACAAATTACCTATTCCCTTACTAACCAAGCTTAAAACTATATAATTTAAAAGGAACGATCTAAGTAATTAATTTAAAAATTAAAATGAATTTAGACATACAATTTTAGTATCTACTAATAATCGGGATCAAACTATCAATCAAAGATAAAGATATTTTAGATAAAGATCAATCAATCAATAAAATCAATCGAGATCAATCCTCAATTCCACGACAGTACCGAAGCACTCGGCCGATACCCAACCAAATGCGTGTAACGAAACCATAACGCGATCAATTTCAATCCCAACGCCATCTATCGAGCATAGTGACAACTCGGATTATTTATCTATACTCCGTTCGGGCATTTTCTTTGTCACTAAAAGTTTAATTTTATTGATATTATTTTTTTCATACCTTTTTACTATTTATTTACTTTTTTCCGATGAATTAAAACAATAACACGAATCGAACTCGTGTAACGATCGACACCATTGCGCGATCACCCCAACTCGACATAATAGAATTATCTATACTCCGTTAGAGAATTTTATTTGTACTAAAAGTTGTATTATACCTCTATTATATTTTTCATACCCTTTCACTATTTATTTACATTTTCCCGTTACACTATTAATTTTTAGTACTGAATTGATGCCGACTCTTGACCAATAGATGGCGCTGTATGTAGGCAATGATTTTTTTTATATTTTTTTTTTGTAAAAAACTAATAAAATTACCCTATGTCCTTTCTCAAGTTCCAAATGTCATGTCATGTCTGTACCAAATTTCACACAAATCGGTTCAGTACTTTGGCGTGAAGCAAAGACAGACAGACAGACAGACAGAGTTACTTTCGCATTTATAATATTAGTTTGGATTTCAATCTTTCGATCAGTCCTATAGTCGCTCTGTTTGCTCGTTCCCAAAATGTAGATTCCTATGTAGAGGAATTAGCAAGAAATATATTTTTTTTATGCAAATACAACTGATGGTAAGCGATTAGCGCCGCCCATAGACACCCGTAACCCCAGAGCAGTCACAGATGCGTTGCCGGCCTTTTGAAAAGAAATACGCTCTTTTCTTGAACGTTTGAAGGTCGTATCGGTTCGGAAATACCGCCGACGACAGATCGTTCCACAGTTTTGCTGTGCGAGGCAGGAAGCTACGAGAGAAGCGCACAATTTTGGCCTACCAACCATCTATATGATGGGAGTGGATGTGTTGTCGTGATGGTCGATGGTGAAAATACACGGTAAGTATCAGATCAAACAATTCCTCAGAGCACTCCCCGTGGTATAAGCGATAGAAAATGCACAACGAAGCTACATCGCTACGTATAGGTTACTTAATCTTTTTCCATGGTAGCCAGGTGGGATGCATTCTTATCACCACTTCTGTATTTGCTGTGGGTTTAAATGTTGACTACAGGACTCCACACTTCACATCACCACATCAACTGCTAATAAGTGTCCACTGCTGACCAAAAGTCTCTTCTCGAATGGAGAAGGTTTGAGCGTTAATAACTACACTTGCTCAATGCGGGTTGGCGATTTCAAACCTATAATTAGAAGCTCAGGTTTCCTCACGATGTTTTCCTTCACCGTTTGTCAGTGGTGTCTAAGTTAACTTAGAAAGTACATATAACTCGGGAAAAGTCTCATTGGTACTTGCTAATGAGACGAACGAGCGCCCTCATGCATGAAAAGCTGGCGTCTTAACACATTCACTGCGGCAGCGTTAAATCTAAACTTTCTACTAGTGCGATACGAGACAAATGATGCCCGTATCTATGTTTCCTGATATGCGTTACGGCTTCTATTTTGCCGTACCAGACCCTGACTTTCAAAGCCTATACAGACGTGGAAACCGCCTATATCAATGGTTTTTATCAACAAATCGATAGACTATGTCCTTGTATGTACCTAGCTGCAGTGGCCCTGGGTACTCTGTTATACTTTGAAAGATACAGAGATTTTTCAAAATCTCCAAAAAGCACACGGGAATTTAGATAAATCGCCCCCGCACAGTACGCAAAACAAGGACAACGAGCTACCGCACTGGCTGAGAATCAAATACGGCTAAATATTTGCTGTAACGCAGTGAATGTGTTAAACCTCTGGGCCACCACGACTTTTAACTTAGGGGAGCCCAATGTTCAGCAATGGGCCTCTTATGGCTCTTGATGGTATCGATGATCACCAGATTGGTTCAGAACTCACCAGCTAAAACAACAGCGTTGAACTGTCCACGTGCATCATCACCCCAGCCGTGGATGAGGATAGCAGTTTTAAGCGAAGGATTGTAGTTCGATGACGTCACGAGATCTTGAAGACCATGGACTAGCGGCTGGCTTATTGTAGGGTTCTTTCTGAAAGGCAATTCAGAGTATTTAAGTAGTTTTGTTTCATGAGATAAGCCGGTAAACGAGCAGACGGATCACCTGATAGTAAGCAATCGGCGTCGCCCATGGACACACGGAACACCAAAGGCTTTACAAGTGCGTTACCGGCCTTTTGGGGATTAGGGATTTGAGGATTGTTGGAGACTCAGGGATTGGGGAAATTGGAGGGAGAGAGTAATTCAAGCTAGCGAGACTAGCTCAATGCGGGTTGGCGATTTCAAACTCATAATTAGAAATTATAAGCCCAGGTTTCCTCACGATGTTTTCCTTCACCGTTTGTCAGTGGTGTCTTAATAATCTTAGAAAGTACATATAACTCGGAAAAAGTCACATTGGTACTTGCCGTTGGTAGGTTTCGAGCCCGCACCCTCACGCATGAAAAACGTCTTAACATTCGAGTTTCCACGACACGTAACGACATAGAAATACATAATATATATAACACTAGTGGACCCAACAGACGTTGTCCTGCATATCCACTTGAATGTATAAACAAAAATTCATTCAAATTAGTTCAGCTGTTTAGGATAAATAACCTAAACATCGACAGCACCGCCATCTGTCGGGCTGATTTGTGAATCTAAACCATTCCCAGATCCCCTTGAACACACAAAAAAAATCTTAAAAATCGGTTACAGTCGTTTGAGAGAAGTTCAGTGACATACACACTCACAGACGAATTATATATATAAAGATTGGGTACCTATACTTATTGAACAGTTCTATAAATGTATGTAGGTAGGTAATTGTGTCATATAAATTTTGTCGTTATGACATGAAAAATTATTGCTAACTGGTCGTATTTAGCAATAATTTTTATTTTAAATGTAATTCGATTTAAGGAATTTAATTTTGTTTTGTACTACTTGTGTTATTAATTTTAAGCTTTAATTCACACACAATGTAAATTGTTTTGCAAATAAATATATATATAAAAAAAACAAATAAAAAAAATACGAAACGGAAACAGGTATGTTTTCTCCAATTTTTGTCTAAATTCACCTCGTAAAAAGATGGTATTGATTCTGTGTGTCTGGGTTGTATCTGGCAGAACCTTCAATGTCTGGCGCCCACAGGTCTACCAGGTGTAGTCTGCCCACATCATCCTGTATATGCTGGTACCGAAGACTGGAACGTGGTATGAAGATACCGTTGGGAAGAGCTGTAAAAAAATTGGTATAAGTTAAATGAGTAGAATACATTTTATTTATGGCGCATCGTGCCTAGTGCTAAATAAAATGTTTTTTCTTTAATTCTTTCTTTCTTTCATTCATTCCTTTTTTCTTCCTTTCTGTCTTTCTTTCTTTCTTTCTTTCTATAAATACAAATGCGTTATCGATATTTTGAAGGTATTGGTACTGTAGGTGGGTGAGCAGAATTGGGTCTCCAGTAACAGCGATGCCGTGTCATGAAATGCATACATGGCAAACTCGCTTGGTACTATTATTTTGTTTTTTATTATTTAGACTTTTTTTTTCTTTTTATCATATATGACGAAATGTTTATTTCAAAACAAAACGAATCTTGATACACTTTCTTTGGGTTTTTCAAAATGATAATATAGACATTATAAAGATTATTATCAGAATATTGACAATTGTATAAAATTATATAATTTTTTATCATTCATAATTATCATTGATAAACTTAGTACAACTACACAACATACATATTGATAATTTCAAGGTCTGTATTACTAAATGCGTAATTACAATACCATGCAATTTAATCCCCAAGCCCATCCTCAAGCCTGGGGGCGTACTCTTGAATCCTATTTCGACCGATCGACATTGACATTGTGAAATTTCGTACTCTTGAGTTCACACTAGCGCCCATTGCATCCGTATTGCATGGATATTGAATGAACTAAATGGTATTGAGTTTGGCTTTATATTCCGTACTCTGAATGCTATTGTAACAGCTACGATTGTGGTTGTATAGTGTTGACATTGAATAATTATTGATGTTTTATTGGATTGAAATTGAATTGACATTGGGATTGGCTTCAAGAGTAAGAACCCTGGAGACCAAATTGCCTTTGTCCAACAAATTATACCACGTAGTTTAATCCCCCAGCTTGAAGACCAACCTGCCAAGTATGGTGATTATGGTAAAACCTTCTATTTAA